TGGGTTTTATCTGTGACTCGAGAGGACGCCGAGCAGATCCGGCGAAGTTAGACAAACTTCTGAACTGGCCCTCACCGTTACGTAGCCCAACCGAGGTCCGGTAGTTTCTAGGAGTGGTCGGTTACTGGCGTATATTCATACGGGGGTATGCGGAGAAGGCTGAGTCATTGAGGTTACTCCTTCGAAAGACTGAAAACTTCTATTGGAATTCTTCGCAGGAACTTGCTATGCAAGAACTTAAAGACGAATTTAAGGAAGGAGGACACGTGTTGGGTGTGCCATTCTTTGACGATGAGACCAAGAGACCCTTCATAGTATCCACGGATGTTGGACCATGTTCGGTGGGTGGTTTGCTGTCTCAGAATGACGCTGGAGGGAAGGAAAGACCGTTAAGATTTGAGAGTAGGACACTTAATACAGCCGAGCGTAACTACAGTCAATTCAAGAAGGAAGTGTTAGCTGTTCTTCGATGTCTAGACACGTTCAGACACTATATCTATGGGCGACGGTTCATCTTGAGAGTAGACCCCACCGCAGTTGCCTCTGTCCTCCAGGAGGACTTTAGTCTGACGGACCCGACCATCGCCTGATGGTTAATACGGATTCGGCTATACGATTACATGGTTGAGAGAGTATCTGGTACGAAAAATGCCGTGGCAGATGGACTTTCACGCATCCCTCTCGAGCGTCCGATAGTAGCTGGGGCTCTGACAATGGCAGAGCCGAGACGCGCCGAGAGATTTCTAGTTAATCTTTACGAGGGGAAGTACCGAATGATCGGACTACACCTAACGGGAGAGGAGAGTCAAGATTCAGAAATCCGGAGGCAAGCAGCCCAGTACTGCCTTAGAGCGGGCCACCTTTTCCGAAGGCCAGTAGGGTCGGGAATGCCCTTACGAGTAGTCTGTGATCCTGAGGAGAGACAGACGATAGTTGCGGAACTTCATGACGGGGTAGTCGGAGGACACAGGGGAGTTAAAGGAACCTACGAAAAGATACGCCGGCTGTACTGGTGGGCAGGACAGTATAAGGACGTTGAGAGGTACTGTATGACATGCGAAGAGTGCCAGAAGAGAGCTCTTGTGAAATACAACGAGCCACTTCATCCATCCTATCCGACTAGACCAGGAGAGAAGGTACACATCGATCTAGTGAACATGCCGAGAGGGGTAGGCAATATGAACTACGTCGTGAACATACGAGACGATTTCACTGGGTCTGGGACGGTATACCTATCAGGAGTAAGGCGGCAGAGGAAGTAAAGAACTTTGTCCTAGAATACTTATCTAGGTATGGTTGTGTCAGCAAGATAGTGATGGACAGAGGAGCGGAATTCCTAGCCGACGAGGTTCAGAGCGTGTTTAGGAGAGCCGGTGCGAGAGTTTCGATAGCCACCRCCTATCACCCACAGTCGAACTCCCCAGTAGAGAGGGGACACCAGACTCTAATAGCGTCACTGTCCAAGTGGTGCATGGGTAAGGACAATGATTGGCCACGATATTTTTGATACGCAATATGTGCGGACAACGTCACGGTCCGGGCTAGTACCGGATACCCACCGTACACCTTGTGGTTTGGGCGACATTGTCCGCTTCCCATAGAGTTTCACGTCGACAGCTGGACAACCGTCGACTGGGCGGAGGAGATGTCCAGAGAGGAACTCTTACCTGCCCGAACGAGGCAAATAGCCTACGGTTTGGAAGATGACCTCATGACAGCGGCAGATCGTCTGGTAGTAGAAAGAGACAAGGTTAAAGAGAGATGGGATAAGAACGTGCGAATTAGGAAAGAGAGGGTGAGCGTAGGAGATATGGTCATTCTCTACGATGCAGCGCTGGAAAGAACCTGGACCGGAAAACTCGCCGACAGATGGATGRGACCTTACAGAGTGGTTGAGGCACTCGACTGAGGTGCATATATGATAGCAGAATTGGATGGATCTAAGTGGAAGGATCCAGTGGCGGGCGCTAGGTTAAAGCTGTTTAGGCCTAGGCCCACGCCCGCTTTATCGCTAACCAACCCGAAAGGGAAAGGGAAAACCATGGTGGAGAATGAAGCCCCCTTGAGGCAATTCGAGGCAGGGGAGAGTTCCAAGAAAAGGAAAAGAATAGAGAAGAGAAAGGTCAAAGGGTTAGCTTTAGGAAGAAAGAAGAGATGGTTATTCGTGCTCAAGCGAGCTAGACGGAGAGTTCGGGTTAGACGTACTGGTGGGTCGACACCCTTCTCGGGGCAAAGACAGAAGAAAAAGGAGATCGTGCCGGGGTCAAAAACCAGAAGAAACAGGAGAGTCAAGAAGCATCTTCTTAGCCTCAGGACTCATCACAAACTGAAACATAAGACAATTGAACGCCGACGTGGGCGACCTTTACGGGCCATCCTCCTGAAGCTCATCCGCTTCGTCTAACGTAAGTTGCCAGGGCTCGACGGGGGCGTCAAGAAGTGGTCCGGGCTAACTGTCAGGCGGCCACAAGCAGTGCGCCGCTTGAAATCCACGGTTTAGGGACTTAGCATCAAAGACAAGTCCGTGCAATGACGGTACTCTGGTTTGACCATGCAGCAAAAATTAGGGGCACCCCGAGTACCCCTAAGATTAGATATGACGACCGTTGAGACTAGCTCTCGAAATTGATAAGAAGGACTACCTTACCGCGGCGGCGTCTATCTCAATACCGCCGTCTTTAACTTGTTTCCGGGACGGCCGCCTGCTGAACAGCAAGATGGAGATGGGCTTGGGCGTGGTTCTTTTACGCTCCACAAATGACGCAGAAGTGGGGCCT